ACTCCAGTCTGGGTGACAGAGTGAGACTCCAACTCAAAAAAAAAAAAAGAAGAAGGAAGGGAGGAAGGAAGGAAGGAAAGAAAGAAAGAAAGAGAGAGGGAGAAGGGACCGAGTGAAAAAGAAAAACACTTCAGGCTAGGTAACTTATAAACAACAGAAATTTATGCCTCATGGTTCTAGAGGCTGGAGAGTCCAAGATCAAGGCACTAGTCATGTGTGACAAGGGCCCACTCCCTCATAGACAGTCCCTTCTAGCTGTGCCATTACATGGTAAGGGAGTGAGGCACCTGTATGTGGTGACTCATGTCTATAATCCCAGCACTTTGGGAAGCCAAGTGAGAGGATTGCCCAAGCCCAGGAGTTTGAGAACAGCCTGGGCAACATGGCAAGACCTCATCTCTACAATACGATAAAAAAATGAGCTGGGTGCGGTGGTTAACACCTATAATCCCAGCAATTTGGGGGGCAGAGGCGAGAGGATTGCCTGAGCCGACAGGTTCGACACCAGCCTGGACAACGTGGCAAGACATCATCTCTACAATAAATCAAGAAAAATTAGCCGGGCATGGTGTTGTGCATCTGTAGTTCCAGCTACTTGGAAGGCTGAGGCAGAAGGATCACCTAAGCCCAGCAGGTCAAGGCTGCGGTGACTGTGACCATGCCACTGTCCTTGAGCCTGGGCAACAGAGTGAAACTCCAACTCAGAAAAAAAAAATTTAACCAGGTGTGGCAGTGCACACCTGTAGTCCAAGCTACTTGGGAGACTGAGTTCGAAGGACCACCTGAACCCAGGACATTGAGACTGCAGTAGCCATGAGCATGCCAACTCACTCCAACCTGTGAAACAGAGTAAGACTCTGACTCAGCCAGACTCGGTGGTTCAGCCTGTAATCCCGCGCCTTTGGGAGGCTGAGGTGAGTGGATTGCCTGAGACTGTGGGTTCGAGACCCGCCTGGGCAGTGAGACCTCATCTCTACAATAAATAAAAAAAATCAGCCGGGCGTGGTAGCACATGCCTGTAATTCTGGCTACTTGGAAGGCTGAAGCAGAAGGATCGCTGGAGCCCAGCAGGTCGAGGCTGCAGTGGCTGGGAGTGGCCACTGCACTCCAGCCTGGGCGACAGAGTAAGACTCCAACTCAAAAAAAAAATGAAAAATAAAAAAAGACTCTGACTCAAAAAAGTAAAAATAAAAAGTGGGGGCCAGGCTTGGTGGCTCAGCCTATAATCCCAGCACTTTGGGAAGCCGAGGCAAGTGGATTGCCTGAGCCCACAGGTTCGAGACCATCCCAGGCAATTTAGCAAGACCACTACAGTAAACCAAAATATAGTCGGGCGTTGTAGCGTGTGCCTGTAGTTCTGGCTACTTGGAAGGCTGAGGTGGAAGAATTGCCAGAGTCCAACAGGTCGACACTGGGGTGGCTGTGAGCATGCCATTGCACTCCAACCTGGGCTACTGAGTGAGACTCTAACTCAAAAAAAAAAAAAAATGGAGGGATGAGGCAGTTTCCTAGACCCATTTTAAAGGGCACTTATTCCACTCTTGATGGATTCATTCTTATGATCTAATCACCACACAAGAGCTTCTTCTCCTAATTCCATCACCTTAATGGTGAGACTTCAAACATAAATTTGGGGACTAAGGGACACAGGCATTCAGGCTTGTGTTACATACATAAATATATGGGCTAGGATTCAAATTCATGTCTTTGACTTAAATGCTTATGGTCCTAACAGGAACCAAACTGAGGATGAAATGGACGGCAGCAAAAAATCCCACCACAGACTTGGAAGGGCACATCCTTTGCCCCTGATGTTTACACGGGTCTCCAAGGATCAGGAAGTCCTCTTGCCATTAGGCTACAAACATCTCAAGTACCCAGACATTAAAGGGTTTGGTGGGCAACTGGCTGGGGTGTTGGGTCCCTTCCTCCATGCATGCTCCCCGCCCACATTCTAACCTGCCCTGGCCACTGGGGAGAAAAGCAGCCTGTGGTCCCCACCTAGAAAGAATCCATTGTCAAGTGAAAGAGTTAGTCTAGGACAGACAGTCCCAGTCAGTGAGGTCA